CGCGCGCGGCGGCCGCGGCGGCGAGCGGCGGCGGCAGCGGTAGGGCGGCGGCGCGGCCGGCGGCGGGACGGCTGCTTGGGGAGCCCATTGGGGTACTGCTGGCCAGGGCTGAGCAGCTGCAGCTGCAGGTGGGTCGGATGGACGGCCAGCATTGCGGATGGATGACGAGCGCTCATTTTTGCGGTTGGTGCTTGGTTGTGTTGGTCTGGTGCTGCACAGAACCCGGGCTGGAAGGGCAGCTGGGGGCGAAGTGATGAGCTGGGGGCGCTCGCGCACGGCAGCGGCGGCGGCGTGGGAGGCCGTGTGTGCATTGCCGCTGGCCGGCAGCTTGCAAGTGCGCGGCCGCGCACACGCCCCGTTTGATGTCTATACGTCGTCATCTTGATCTTGATTCTCTGATCAAAGACATAAACTCACAGCCACCTCCGACCGACCTCGCCCCATCAGGCGGTCCTCGCCGAGTCCGCGCGCCTGGCGGCGGAAGCCGCCGCGCAGCTGCAGCTCGACCCTACCCCCGCCGCCGACGGCCGCGGGGCCGCGGCGGCAGCGGCCGGCGGCGGCGGCGGCGGAGGGCCTGAGCGGCGCCTGTGGGTCGACAAGTATGCGCCCGCCGGTTTCACGCAGCTGCTAAGCGATGAGTGGGTCAACCGGGAGGTCGCCAAGTGGACGAGATCCTGGCTGCCCGGCTTCCGCCCAGATCCCGCTGACGAGGACGACGCCGGCGGCGGCGGCGGCAGAGGCGGAGGCGGGGCGTTTGGCACGGGGCAGAAGCGGAAGTGGGGCGCGGGCGGCGGCGGAGGGGGGCGGGGGCGGCGGAGGAGGGCGGTCACGCGGCAGGAGGCGCCGGTGCTTCTGATCTGCGGGCCCCCTGGTGAGTGGCAGTGGGCGCGTGCACCGCTGCTGCACAGGGCTCAAGGTTTTCGTTTTGGGTTTTTTAGGGTTCAGGGCCGAGGCGGGCTGTATGTATGGAGGCGAGGGCGATGGGTGCAGCCGAAGACGGGGCAACAAAGGCCCTGGATCATCCGCGATGGTGCTCTCCGCTCTTGGGCCCTCGTCTGGGCCACACAAAGCGCACGCATCGACCCTCACGACCGGCCCCTTTTCTTGCATCCCCGCCAGGCGCCGGCAAGACCACGTTGGCGCACGTCGTGGCGGGCCACTGCGGCTTCCGCGTGGTGGAGATCAACGCCTCGGACGACAGGTGATCTGACGAGGTTTCACCGCGCGATCTGGGCCCTCTGCGGGAGCCCGGGGCCGTTTGGAGAGGCACCGGCACGCCGGCAGGCAGATGGCCCCCTCTGCAGGGGCCCGGCCCCTTGGCGCGGGCAGCGCAATGGATGTCATCCCTTTGCCACCGGCCTGCCGTTTCGCTCCCCGGGCCAAGCGCCATGGAGCGCCGCTTCAGGGGCTTTTCCGCCCTCCTGGCACACTGCCCGACCCGGGGCCCCCGCCTTTCGGCCGCGCGCGCGCGCGCAGGAGCGCTGCGGCGCTGGTGCGGCGTGTGCAGGACGCGGCCCAGATGCAGCCGCTGCTGGACGCCCAGAGGCGGCCCAACTGCGTCGTGGTGGACGAGGTGGGCCGGCTTGGTTGTTTACTTGGGGTGGGGTAGGGTTCGATTTAACGGTGGTTTACAGGGGCGACGATTCTTAGAATGAATGCAGTGGATAATGCTACGCTGTGCTGCAAGTGGCCGAGGCGGGGCGTTGTTGCGGAGGGCGGGACGAGGGGGAAGGGGTGGCAAGAGGGATGTGGCGGAGGGCGAGGGGC